GGAGGTACAATAAGCATTCGGAATCAAGTCTAGATCTCTCCATCGTGAAAGAGGATTCCCGTAAAGAAGCTGTGGCTGGCTACACAAGCTCACTGAATAATCAAAGGGAAGAGCCAGAGGACTGGGGAGTTTGCCATGAGACTGGCTCCTAGTGATGTCAGAAGGTACACCCATGAAGTTTCATCAGCATGACTGCCTACACATGACCTAAGCAAGGACCACACCAAAGACATGCTCAACAGAAGTGGGTGTGGGAAAGACCAGGAGGCCTCAACCCAAAGAACAACAGGCGACTAAGAAATGCTGAGAGTGAGAGAAGGAATCTTCAGGAAAAAGAACACACACTGGTTATCTAATGCCAAATGGTCAGTCCTGGAAACATATATACAAGTTACATTATACAGAGTGAACAGGCTGTATTTAAAAATATATATGCATATATCTATATACCTATAACAACAAGCAATGAAAAAAGAAGTCATGGATTTGAAAGAGAGAAAGGGGGCACAGAAGAATTTGGAAAGAAATAAAGGAAAGGGAGAAATAATATGATTTCATTATAATTTCAAAATTAAAAGAAAGCACACCTTCAATGCCTGTCTAAAATTTGGAATGTTGGAGGTTCAGACCCTTGTGTTATCTGTCCAGGAACCACATCCTGCAGTAACTATCACAAGACTGAGATACAAGCCCTTGTTCTAGGGCTCTCTCAGGTTAATTCTTTCTACTTGGGTAGAACAAAGTATCTCTCCTCTGAGGCTCTCAAAAGCCTCAAGAGGTTAGGCCTATCAAAGAAAAGACTTGTTCCCACAAATGGCTCTGGTCTTTTTTTCCATATTGCCATTCATGTGTTTTCAGGGACCTTGCATTTCAGGAAGTGCCTTACTAACTGGGAGACTAAACCCAGGCTTTTGCTGCTAGAATTGCATGTAGTAAATGAGAAGGAACACACACTGAAAATTGGTAGAGAATGGCGACACAGAAAGACACTAGGGATACATGGAACAAATTCAGCAAGGAGTGCAGAAGAGATTGAGAATGGGGAGAGGCACGGGAGGCTCCACCAGCTTAGGAGAGCAGCAAGGATATCCAGCAAAGATGTGATAGGAGGTGAAAGCAAAGGGAGGAAGCAGGAAGGAAAGAATGGCTGAGGTGGAGACCCGTTAGCCGAGAGAGACAGGGAAAATATTCAAGGCTCCCTTGCCATTATTAATCCTTAACAGGGAGCTGATACAGGAGAGGGACAGTGTGCTATTCTGAAGGGTACCTTGGTGAGTGACCAACTTCTCACCTTGGCACATGAGCAGATAATCCTGTCCGGGTGATTTTCAAGGAGCTGGCATCCCAATAACCCTTGAATGGTCCCCTCCCTCTGCTCACAGTTTGAAGCAGCTCCTATCAGTCACCCCAAAATGAGTTGGAAGTTTAAGAGATTAGAAACACAAATCTTGCCTCCTGGCTAGCTCACCAACTGACATTACCAGTTAATGTCAGGTTGCAAGGACATCACCACAGGGGTTTCAGGCACTTATAGCCACAAAGGATTGAGCAGAAAACACAGGTGTAGCTAAATCAGAGTTAGTTTATTGAGAATATACTTCCAAGAGGAGAGCCAAGGGCGGTAACATTGAGGAAGTCCAACAACTTTGTTCACTATAAACTTCTTTCTTTCTTTCTTTCCTTCTTCCTTTCTTTCTTGTCACCCATCTGCCTTTATTATAAACAGAAAGAGGGAACACTTGTAGCAATAGCAAACAATTAATTTACAAAAGCAGGGACTTGGTGAAGCTTCCTTGGTGAACTTTATTTTCTAAGATGTGTTTTGCTTTTTGTTTTATGTATCTGAATATTTTGCCTGCATGTATGTCTGTGCACCACGTGCTTGCCTTGTGCCCATGGAAGTCAGAAAAGGGTGTCAAATCCTCGGAATTGGAGTTGTAGATGGTTGTGACCCACCATGTGAGTGCTGTGAATCAAACCTGCATCTTCTGCAGGAGCAGTGAGTACTCTTAACCACTGAGGCATCTCTCCAGCCAGAGCTCTGGATATTTTATTGGTTTAGCCTAAATTTTTATCTATTTACATAATGCCAACTTTTCTATGCACACTTGATTTGTTATCTGTTCAACTTGCAACTTCACATGTCTTATGTCTAATCAGCATTTTAAGTCTCTGCCCAGGGTTGTGTTTAGTATTATACTGAGCCATAAGTTACCCTTGGACAATGAAGAGTCACTATATCAGATTGTCAGTGAGTCTTAGTTGGCCTTGACTAGAGAGATTTCTGACTCTTTCTTTGCCAACCTGTGTTTTTCATAGGCTAATCTTAGCTACTACCTCACTAGGTAGCAGGGGTATTACAATTGATTGAATTATAATATTATCTCAGGGGAATTTTTCTTTTCATTGGAATCCTTAACACATTACTGTTTATGAATATCTTGCACAGCACTATACAAAAAGTTACCAAAACTTAAATACAAAGTATACAAATATGATACCAAGATCAATTAATAGAAAAGGTTAGAGAGGTGTCAATCACACCACACTTGAGATAGAATTCTTACTGTTATGAATATTTTGTACAGCATTACACAAAAGGTTACCAAAACTATATACAAAGTATACAAATATAATACCAAGATCAAATGATAGAAAACTTTAGATAGGTGGCAATCAAACCAACTGCAATCTCAAAAAATTCATTACCTAAGAAAAAATGTGCAGTTATATCATATTGACAAACTTCCAAATACTAACTTCTGTCTTTTTCTTCTAAGTTGATTATTAAAATGAAGGCAACAGATTATCAAACCCGCCAGGCTCTAGGTTCAGTCCCTGCAGAACAGTTACATGGAACTCTCCACTTTTTGCAAGGCTGATGAACAAGATGCCAACTGAAGAAGCCTTCTTCAAATCATCCTCAAAGCTATCTGTCAGCAGCTATGCCAGCCGGTGTTGCCAGTTGTAACTCCCAGCAGACAGATCAGTTCTGATGATGAGATATCTTTCCCTAAGTAGTCCTAGGGACACTGACATTCTTACTCTCCAGGGTCCTGTAACTCATCATCTGAATGCTAATCAGCATTGCCCAAACAATCATTACTTAAGACTAGTGTATAATACTGTATCACATCAGTTGTCTTGTTTCTAGACCATAAATGGCTCTTTACAGTTCCACTAAGGATAATCCTGCTTCTACCTACTCTCAGATCTTGAAGCAACCTCCAATCATACAGTTCTACTGAGTTATTGGTGGAAATGCACAGTAACAGCCTAGCCTGACTGCAACAGTGATGTTCATTAATAAGGCATTTGTTTTCTAAGTGGAGCTAAAATTCTCTCCACACAGATACCCATCGCCTTATTGAAGGTAGTAGATCAGTGATTGACATTTACATCTCGAAGAGTCAATACAGTTCTGGAGGTCTTTGGTTGGTGGTGTTGTGGAGGGAGTAATTTATAATGAAAATAAATTTAATTATAATTCTTAAAGCTTGGAAGTCTAGTATTAAGGTGTTAGCCTATGGTTTGAGCCTTTTTGACAGAGCATCCCTTGACAAAAGTCTAAAGGTCAAGAGAGGCCAAGAGAAAGAGAATGTACTTTTAGAACAAGAAAACTTTTAGTTTTCCGGTAATTAACCTACTTCCATAATGTTGGTGAAGTCCTCAACACAATTGCTTCTTTGGGGGGGGGGTGGGTTTACCCTCCAACACTATTGCACAATGTTTCTAATACATGAGCTTTAGGACCGCATTCAAATCTGTGCATGTTAAGTAAATGACTGTCTTTACAGCAGTGGAATTGTCAAATCTGACAAGCCATCGCCTGGAATGACGGTGAGAGAAGGTGAGCATGATGTCAGTCAAGTAAATCTTCAGGTAAATGGAGGAAATCAAATTGAGGATTTCTTCTGTAAGACAAGCACAGGATTTTGCTTGCTGACTGACGCTTCTGAAGACGGCTAGAAGCAAGAAAATAAAGCATTGTCTCTTAACCAAGTCAGAATAACCTCTTTTATCTTAAGCAATGATGTTATTTGGTTTTGTAGAAGAAGTGGGAATGGGGAGGTCCAAGCCATCACTTATATCTCTGATCATAGATCCATGAGTCAGTTATAAAAGAATAGTGACACAGCCTGGGCCATGTCAGTCAACTTTAATCTGCCTTCTAGAGGTCCCTGAGTTTTAAAAGTTTTAAAACCAAGTCTCAGTTCTACCCCTTACCTATATTCAGATTAGGGAAACATGCAAAACTGTAAAATCTGATGCAGCTAAATGAACTAAACTATACATTGTATGTGAAGTAATAGTCACCTAGGGACATAGAAATATCTACAATGTATGGACTGTCAGACATCTGGACCAGTGTGAAAACTGTAGTCTGCCTCCATTTGTATACAAGTCTGTTTCTTTCCACTTTTATCAGAAGGGCAATCACACTGAGCACACTCTGGTAAGCATCTGGAATACAGTGCCCCAGATATGTTTGCAGATAAGAGAAGAAAACCAAGAAGAGCTATTTAAATAGGAATATCTCATTCAGTGAGAAAAGTTTAGTTGTATTTTCCCCAACATATTATCCTGCAGTTCTTCTTGTCTCTCCCTACCACCAAGACTTGCATAATGATATCTAAGTCAGTAAAGAAAAAAAAATCAGTTCATGTATTGGTGGTAGAGTTTTTGTTTGTTTGTTTGTTTGTTTTGAGACAGCATCTTGCTATAAATCCCAAGCTTCAAGATCCCGAGCCTCCCATGTCTACCTCATGAATGCTGGGATCTACATCTGCCCTTTCTTTTCTTTCTCTCTTATGTACTTTCATATTAGCTTTCCATTGAGGATGGTTTTGATGAAGAAAATGATACCTTGTCATGTGTTACATTTTGGGGGTGATTTCTGTCACAGTCTAGCCATGTTGGGTTTATACTACCAGGGTAGGGGCATGTGGATTAGAAACATTAGGTAGAAGGAAGTGAGATATGAAAAAAACACAGAGACATAGGATAGTAGCGGCAACTCAGTATATACTGAATACTGAATTCACCCACGTTTAATTTTCATATGTGTTTATACTCCAGTACAAAAGGGGGAAGAATGCAAGTGATTGCTTCAACATGACACAAAGAGCACCAGAACAGTTACTTGCTTCAATACTTGAGACATCAAGCCATTATTTCCTGGGTAAAGCATTTGATGCTTGGGGCAGGATACACCCTAGACCAAGTATTCCATAGGCAGCCATTCCCTATGCCAAAATTTTCTATTTTACAATGAAGGAGCAGGAATAGGTTTGAATTCTCTGACCTTTGGCCAGAGTAGAGCAGATCCACCTCCATGGGCCATGCTAATGTCTAAAACACCAAGAAACCACACCCTAGTTCAGGATTTGTAGCCACGCCTGTTGTCAACAACTTTGAAAGAGCAAAAATAAGCTCAAACTCTCTGATCTCCTGTCTGGGTGGAATAGGCTCACATCTGTGGGTCTCCACAATGCTGTACGTCATATCCATTGGAGTTATCACCACGCACAACACTCTCATCAACAGAGACAGGGCACATTTCTGAAAGAAAGAAAAAAAAGAATAAAATTCTCTTTCTAAGAATTTGCATTCTTCCTCTTTCCCATCTCTTTGTAATCATAAGTATCACCTTGGTTACTTCTCTTTTCACATCTTATCCCAACAAACAATATTAAAAAATACTTTCACTGTAGCAATATGGCATCCAAAGGAGCAATGCGTTTCTATGATTGATTCAAGTGCTCCAAAGAGGAGAATAAATACAAGTCAAACAATGAGAAATTCTTGGTTCACTACAGCTGTTGGCCAGGTTTCCACCAAGCACTAACAAAGGAAATATCCTGGCCAAGGAAGGGCTGAAAGTGGCAGTTAGGGGACAAGAATAGAATGCCATTTGTCAGGGAAACCCTTCTTTCTTAGCCTTGCTGAAAACTCTGAACCATCTAAACTTAGCCTAGAGTAAGATCATTTTAAGCAACAGAAAGCTAAATTAAAAATCAAAGCATAAGAACCATAGCATATTAAACAACAACCAGGAACCTGGAGACAGGTTAGATTTTATAGGATTTAGTATAAGAGCTCTAATGTAGGAGAGGCTTCTGTATTTCTGTTGCTTTCATTGACTAATTAATAAAGAAACTGCTTGGCCTGGTAGGTTAAAACATAGGTGGGTGGAGTAGACAGAACAGAATGCTGGGAAGAAGGCAATGAGGCAGACGCTATAGCTCTCCTCTCCAAGATGGACACAGGTTAAGATCCTTCCTGGTAAGCCACCACCTTGTGGTGCTACACACATTAATAGAAATGGGTTAATCAAGATGTGAGAGTTAGCCAATAAGAGGTTGGAACTAATGGGCCAAGCAGTGTTTAAAAGAATACAATTCATGTGCTGTTATTTCGGGTGTAAAGCTAGCTATGTGCGAGCCAGGCGGGAATGCAGCCCACCACTCCTTTTACAGAGCTCCAAATATATCTTCATTACCTCTAACTACAGAAGTATGGGGATGTTTTTCTGTCAACTTAGTGGCTGCCCTTGAGTCTACTGATATTTTAACCATTGTTGCAGCCTCGATATGTAGGTTTAAACTAAGTCTCTATCATTTTATTTTCCAACAAAGACTTGGAAGTCAGATGTGGGGGCTGAAAATCTGCGAGGTCAGAAAAGCTGAGAAGCAACCAGCTGAAATTGCCTTTTGGCCCACTTGTCCCAAAAACCAAAAAGAAGCACCAAACTCTAGTAATGCCATTTCCTTCCTTTTCATCTTTTCCATCCAAATTCCTGGCTTCTCTATGGCTAATTCATGTCAGGTAGTTGCTGACTCTGCTCACCCCCTCTCCTGTTCATGGATAACAATCTCAAAGTATCACAGAGCAATAAGATATCATACAACAATAAAGAATATTTCTCTTTATGATCAAGAGGAACATACTACCCTTACCTGAATTGTGATTGTTTACTTCATCAGAACCACATTGTGCTTCTTCCTCTGGCTGGGGAACCTGGACGCATTGGTCTCCAGCAGCAGAGTATGTGTATCTTCTGGTCCCTAGTTTGTTTGCAGATCAGAGGGAAGAAAGGGATAAGTAGGTGTGTATCCCTTCCCAAACTCCCAGCTTCTCCCTTGCATACTCTTCTTACTTTGGCTGTGTCTTCTCACTGAAGGCCACTCTAACCTAAGGGAGTGATTCGATATAACTCCCAGTTGCAGGATTGGGGAACTCTTCTCTCTCTTTGTCACCTTAAGTTTAAGTTTGGTTCTGATTCAGATGTGGAGAGCTGGGGATTAGGGGGTGAATGCATTATCTTCTATGTTAACTCTGTAAGTTCTGAGTATTCTGTGTGTTTTTCTATAGACCTGGATGTGGGCAGATTTCCAGTGCAGAAGCTGTCATTGTTAAGCAGCTTCTCCCATCTCCATAATTTGACACCCCATCTCCCATAATTTGACACCCCATCTCCCAAAATTTGAATTTAATCCAACCACAGGACCATTATAACCCAGAGGATGAATCTGGAAGCAAGTTAGACTACTTGAGATGCACCATCTCTGACTATTTCTAGTCAATTAAGTGGCGGGTGTAACAAGCAAGGCCGGCCTGCTTATTAGACTGGATGATTACAATGTCAAAATTGGTGAAATGATCCTGTGATGTCACCTTGAAACCTCATTCTCAATAATCGTTTTCCAGTAACCAAAATCTTTTACTTGCAAGAAACACATACCTGGGACATGAGATTTATCTGAACCCCCAGGAAATCCAGGGCTTTCTTGGGGGCCAGGTGGTGCTCTTGGTAGCACTGTGCTACTGTTGACACTAGTGGGCACAGGGATAGCTAGTGTACGGTCACACAGACCTGCTTCCTGAGTCTGCTTGGTGCTTGAACACCTTCCTGGATTCACATTTCCTGGAATGTGGAAGCAAACTAATCCCTAGTTTGTACAGATTCATTCCAGGTCAAGTTCTGATCATTGACGCACATTTCAATAGAAATCTAAGGACGGGTGGTCACAGTATCTTAAGGCATTGTTTTAAGTGATTATTGGACAATACAAGTTTGTTTCACAAAAAAATTAAGAAAATCAAAGCAATTTTTGAAATCATCATACATAGAACAAGGTCTGTGCAGTACACAACTGAGTCTGGGGACATGAAGGAATTAACTGCATGAGGTGGGAGGGTGGAGAATTAGGACTCAGGCATTATGCTGACCGATCACCTGGTAGGATGCATTCAGGCAGTACCCTGACCCACCCAGGATCTTATGACTGTTATGTCACAACGTAATCTGTGCACAGGTGCAAAAGGTCCCATTAGGAGACAAGCTCTGCCCATTTCAGTTCTCTTTCCCACTGTTCTTCTGAAGAGACAAGCAGATCTCTGTCCCCTTCTTTCTTTTTTCCTCTGTCTCTCTTCCCTCCCCCATTCCCTTTATCTCAAACTCTTCACTTAAGCTCTGTCTACAGGGTGTTATTTGTCTCTCGCCCACCCTAAGGCCTCTGAGTTCTCACCCACTGGTGTCTTTTGCACGCACAATCGTAACAGGGAAATACTACAAAGACAACTTTTTAAAGCTTAGTTTTATTTCCTTCTATTTTTTTCAGTGCAAGCTGATCAGATCATTCTGTTCACTATTTTAAATAATTTCGATTTTTTGTGAAAGAGCACCTGTGGTTTTCAATTCATTAAACCATCTTCCCTACTAGTGATTAAAATAGTCAAAACTTGGGAATATTCACAGTAAGCTACAGTGATTGTGCTTATATATGTTTTAATGTGCCTCTGACCTCTTGCTCAGAACAAATTTTAAGAAGCAGAATATTTAAGTGAAAATGCAAAAGAGTGTTAACAGATTTTAATAAATTTTAGAATGACTTGGAGAAAAATACATCCACAATCAGCAGTATTATAGGTGCTTTATTAAAGTCAAATACTTCATATTACCTTCAGAGTCATTGGAGTCTCTTCTCACTTTATAGTAATAGCGATATGCTGCTAGCAACATCAGAAGCAGTAAAGTCGACATCAAAATTCCAAAACGTTTGTTCTGTAAAAAACTGGAATCTAAATAAAACAAAGTAACAAGGACTGTGAACTGAAGGAAACATACCAAGTGAAATAAATGTGAGAAGGCTAGTGCCCGGACAGATGTTTACTATTTTTAAGATTGGTTGTTGCAGCAAAGGGGACAGAATTAATATGGAGAATGAATGATTCACAGAGTAAAGAAAGCCTTCAAAAAAAACTTTTAAAAGAAATAGTATAAGGAAACCATCGGTATGAATATGAGGTTGTTCTCAGCCTCTCTGTTACAAGAACCTTAGAGTCACTATAATTTCTATCAATTTTGGTCTTGGTAAATGAGAAAATTAGGAGAGAAAAGAGTGAAAACTTGAACAGCAAACATTCAACTCTGCATTTTAATTTTCTGTTGTTTATATTATATCAGGAAATTAATATTTTTTTTAAAAAAAAATACTGATTAAGAACGGAAACCTGGGTTAGCCTGTAGTTCTCCTTAGACCCTCATGCAAGAGTCTTTCCACACTGGTCTGGAGAAGACAGTCCTAAGGGAACAGTGATAGGATGTTCATAGTAATGAGATAAAGGCCTGGGGCTGATGGAGAATCTCATCAACCAATGATCTTTAAGAGGTGGGACCAGGTTAGGGTATGATCTTTTGGGAACCTGGAGAAAAACACTGGGTGGCCCAGGTTTGCTCTCTCTGTGGTTCCGGTGATACACAATTGGGCTTGAACTTCTTGTTCTCATTTCATGAGTTTGCCCCTTATAATACAGAAAAATAGTATCAGTTTATCTTGGGGTTAGCCTGGTATTCTTTGAACCAGGTTATTTCAATATGAGGCAATCATAGTTTGAACTCTGTGAGTTCAAGATCAGCTTGGTTCCAGTACAGGTCCCAAAGTTAGAGAGAAATCCTGTCTCAAAAAACAAAAAACAAAAAACAACCAAAAAAAAAAAACAAGAAAAGGAAAAGGAATAACTGGGGGAGCGCAAGCTTCCCATATGCAGTCTTGGACTAGGATTAGGATTATTAAAATTATTATAAATGAAACATGAACTGGTGACGTGGGATTCCCCTCTGTATGCAGTGAATATGATTGGTTAAAAAAAGAAACTGTCTTCAGCCCGTGATAGGGAAGAACAGAGCTGGGTGGGTAAAAACTAAACTAAATGCTGGGAGAAAGAAGGGTGGAGTCAAAGAAAAGCCATGTAGCTCTGCTGGAGACCTACATTGAAACTTTTCCCGGTAAGCCACAGCCACATGGCAATATACAGATTAATGGAGGTGGCTTAATTAAATATGTAAGAGTTAGCCAATAAGAAGCTAGAGCTAATGGGCCAAGCGGTGATTTAATTAATATAGTTTCTGTGTGATTATTTCAGGGCTAAGAGGCCAGGAACTAACCAGCAGCCTTCCTTCAACAGCCCTCTGCAAGAGTAGCTTAACTCTTAACTTCTGAGCGGCTGGGAACCAATAAGCAGCCTCCTCCAATGAATTGGTAAATGGATTTGGATTACTAAAGTGAGACCCAGCTGATCTTACAATCCTACCAAATAGTAGGTGGTTTTAGAGCACAAAGGCTGATGTAGGGTGGAAACAATGTTTATGCATTGTTCTTTAAAATGATTATCTCTATTTATATGTCACACAGAAACAGTCCTGAACACAGTTATTATTTAATAAGTCTGCATTCTAACAATAAAAATATTAATCTTTCCATTTAGTTGCTAATTCTGAATATCTGTCTATTGTGAGGAAGAAGCGTTTAGGTAGAGAGGACAAGTTTAATTTCTAATGTGTATCCAGATGTATGCTTTCTCTTCTGAAAATAGATCTGTGGTGCAGGAGAACAATTCTATATCTGTCGATCATGTTTTAAATAAATGCTGATTGTTCAGTAGTCAGGCAGGAAGTATAGGCAAGACAATAAGAACAGAAGAATTATAGGAAGGAGGAAGACCATCCCTACCCCCAGTCCTGCCCAGATCATGGATGAAGCAAGATGTGACTTGCCCCACTGAAAAAGGTACTGAGACATGTGGCTAACATAGACAAGAATAATGGGTTGATATAAGTTATAAGAGTTAATATGAAGCCTGAGCTAATGGGCCAATCAGTTTATATCTAATGTAGACTCTCTGTGTGATTTTTTCTGGGACTAAATGGCTAGGGAACTGGGAAAACAAAAACTCCAACAAGCAGACCCTCATAATACACATCTGGAACAATATAATTACTTCATATTTTTTTCCTTTGGCCTTTAGTCCCTTCCAGAGTGAAGAGATAGATATAAAGTCACATATTAACTCAGAAAGACAATTTAGACAAGATTGCTTAGGTCCATTCATTTCAATGAAACTTTCATTGATCAGATCTATAAACTAGGAATTTGAAGTGGATTTCCAGTTTGCATGCTGTGGCCCCACAGTGACACACTTTCTCCAGCAAAGCTTCATCTAATCAAACAGGGCCATACCTCCTAATACTCATTATTGTGCCACTTACTATGCACCAAACATTCAAGCACCTGAGTCAATGGGGGTCATACGTATTCAAAGCCCCACACTGGATCATGCTTGTAGATCAAGATGTAAGCTCTCAACTGCTGCTCAGTGTCATGCCTGCTGATCTACTGTCATGTTCCCTGCCATCATGGCCATGGTCTTACCCTCTGAAACTGTAAGGCCGTCAATAGGTTTTTTTGTTCTATATGTTGCCTTGGTCATGGTATCTTACTTAGTACAACAATAGAAAAAGTAACTAAGACAGAAGTTGGTACTAAGGAGTGTACCATGATCATGGTAGTTTTGAAGGAATAGAGAAGACTTTGGGATTTTGGACTAGGGATTTTGGACTAGTATTGGTTGAATACTATAAGCAGGCTTAAGTGAGCTGTCATTATAGGAGCTTGGAAAATATGACCCCACTCATAATCCCACAACTTCTGAAAAGAAAAAGCCTGTTCCTAAAGAGCAACAACAAATGAAAGCTTAAGTAAATGTCATTCAAAGAAAGGTCAAAAAGGCTGCAGAACTTCATAGCACTGGCCACAGGGTTCTATCTTTAGAGTCAGAAAAGATACAGGAACAAGAGGTTGTGGAATTTTTCTCTACAGTCAAAGAGAACTACTGACCCACTCTACTAAAGACCTTGCAAACCTGGAAAAGTCTAAGTGGTCACCCTCCCCACAAATTTCCACACTTTTCACTATTTCGGCACCTCCCCACACTATCCTTAGTTCCATGTCCTACCTTTTGTGCTTCATCATCTAATAGGTCCAGAGACTCTCTGCTCTACCAGAGATTTGGGAGAAGTCCAAGTATGCTGCCAGCCCACCAAACTCCCCCAAGCTTACACCATCTCAAGTTCCCCCATTTCTATCAACAGTTCCACACCCTCCTAATTTTTTCCCTAACTTCCAATTGGAACAGAGACTCCCTGCTCTACCAGAGATCACAGAGATTGAAGAAGTCCAGGCCATCCAGACCATAAGACCAGAGAAGAAATAGAAACCAAGGAACAAAACACCCATCCAAAAAGACAAACTCAACAAAGCCAAACTAAGGAAAGATTTGAAGAATATGTATCTAACTGAAATATATCTCTATATATCTAGAAAACCTAACATGATTACATATTGACCAACTCCTTGCTGAATGACTACTGGACCGGGGCATAAAAAAGGAAAGAAATTAAAGGCTTCCTAGAATTCAATGATTATAAATGCACAGCATACCTAAACTTATGGGATACAATGAAAGTGGTGCTAAGAGGAAAATTTATAGCACTAAGTGCCTTCATAAAGGAATTAGAAATCTCCCCACTAGCAACTTAACAACACACCTGAAAGCTCTATAGCAAAAGGAAGCAAACATGCCCAAGAGAAGTAGATAGCAAGAAATAATCAAAATGAGGGCTAAAATTAATAAAATATATACAAAGTTCATAATACAAAGATCAATAAAAAAGATTTGGTTCTTTGAAAAAAATCAACAAGAGAAACAAACCCTTATCCAAACCAACGAAAAGACAGAGAGAAAAATCTAGGCAGTGGTGGTGCTTTCCTTTAATCCCAGCACTCGGGAGGCAGAAGCAGGCAGATCTCTGTGAGTTCAAGGCCCACTTGGTCTACAAGAACTAGTTCCATGACAGGCTCTAAAACTACAGAGAAACCTTGCCTCAATAATAATAATAATAATAATAATAATAATAATAATAATAATAATAATAAAAAGAAAGACAGAGAGAGAATATGCAAATTAACAAAACAAAAATGAAAAGTGAGATATATCAATAGATACCAAAGAAATCCAAAAAATCATTAGGTCATATTTCAAAACCTGTACTACACAAAATCAGAAAATCTAAAAGAAATTGACAATTTCCTTGAGAGATACAACTTACCAAAGTTAAATCAACATCAGATAAATTATTTAAATAGATCTATAAACCCTAAGGAAAGAGAAACAATTATTAAAAGTCTCCCAAATGAGGGCCTTGGACTTTCCACAGGGCGGGGTTCATTGCCATCTCTTAGGATTGGAGATAGGTAGGGTAAGAGAGTGTGTGGAGGGAGAGGGAGGGGAGTGGGAGGAGGGGAGTCAATTGGAATTTAGATTTTTTTTAAGTAATAAAATAAAATAATAATAAAATAAATAAAAATAAAATAAAAAATAAAAATCTCTCAAACAAAAGAGCCTAGGGTCAGGTGATTTTAGTGCAAAATTTTGCCAGACCTCCAAGTAGAGATGATATGATCATTCCTCAAATTATTCCACAAAAGAAAAACAGAAGGAACATTATAAAATTAATTTTATGTGACCACAGTCACCCTGATACTCAAACCACACAAAGATTCAACAAAAGAAACAGAATTGCACACCATTTTCCCTCATAAACATAGATGCAGAAATATACAATAAAATACTCCCAAACTGAATTCAAGAACACATCAAAAAGACCATTCATCATGATCAAGTAGGTTTTATTCCAGAGATGAAGGTCTGGTTTAATATATGGAAATCTTACAATGTAATCC